ACTTACTCACCAATTCATATACACTGGCAAGAATCGCAACGAGCTCGAGTCGGCTAAGCAATCGTCGAGCTGGGATTTTTGTGGACTCAAAGGAGCACGTGGAACCAGGTGGTGGAGGGCAATTTGATAAGATATCAAAAAGAGGAAGGGTGTTTTGTAGCGTTGGGAGTCCGGCGAATACCTCCTCGTCCGGCCTGTCACGTGGAATTGCCGATTGGGATCGCAGGGAGGTTATTATGCTCTCATTGAGGGAGGGAATGAGCTTCCGCAGCTGTGAAACGGGGCAAATACACAAACAAACTGAGGCTCACGCAAACACCACACGACACTTAGGCTTCTCTACAGCACCGAAAGAATGCACTTAGGTTGCTCACCTGCATGGTTCTAGTTTGAAATTCAGTGAAGAATGTTGGAAGGTTGTTGAGTGACTCCATCACCTAGACTGTAATAAATTCACAGAATTTGAATTTTACCTAAAAGAGGAAGGAAAATCTGCCCAAAAATATAGGTTAAAATGCGAATCTTTCGATCAAGTGTACGGAAGAACGGGAATCAGGCAACTCTTTCGGATCGAGCGGTAAAAACAGCATTGAGAATTAAAAAGAATATCCAAAAAATTATGAGCGAGCTGTTGAAAACTACTTAAATTGTATGGCCTAAACACAAACACATTTTGTTCAAACAGAAGCTGGATATTTGCTTGTCAATTTCGAACAACAATTAGAACATAGGACACCAAGTTCGAGGCGACAAAATTTACAACCAGACACTCATTTAAATGATACAGCAAGTTACGTCAAGAATAACCTTCGAAGGGGTTCAAAAACTGTTAGCTGAATATGAAAATCTGCGAGGAATGCAAATCCGCACAAAATGAGCGCACATCAATCATTAGGCCAGAAGAAACAAATAATGTAGACAACACAAATAGTCTACTTAACACGTGTGGATTCGCAGCTCAATAACCAGATATGCAATGACTAGAAAAATATTGATGGCAATTTAGAATAATCACAAGATAGTACAAACTAAATTTCACTGGAAGCTTGATCCAATAGGAATTGTGATACAAGCCAGGGTGGCTAATTTACAAGCTCCTAAGCAATTTGCCAACAGTATACGACACATTTAGAACACACTGACAATCAACAAATTAATCAATAGGTGTTATGATATCAAAAATTGGCAACACCGAGCGTCAACACAAATTCGGCTACACAAAATATGTAAAAAACGTCATAAAAACTAATACATGATATAATCATGTTATACAGTACGCAGTAAAGCACATTGGATTAATAATATTTGAGAAACAAATGCATAACTTTGCGAACCTAGAAAATGAGCAAGTAGTAAATGTCCCAGAATAAGATCAAATAAAGTAGAGTCGAACATCAGGAGGAAGAAGGGGCACGGATACAAAAAACTTAAGTTTTATAGTATATAACTCAACAATTACACATACAGTAGACATTAACCTACAATCAAAAGCGTCCAACCAAATGAACGCAAGCGCCAAGATTTCAAAACGGCCCCGCGCGCGAATTTCATTACTTCGATGCATCAAAACCATAGAACCATCATTTTCTTTTACATTTATTCGCTGCGTTTAACTTTCAATTACAAAGCCTTTGTTAAATGTTTACACATAAATAAGTTTATAGATCAATTATTTTTCTCTGGAAAAGTTTGTGCCGAAAACACACATTTCCATATTTAAACATGACTATTTATTTCTAGATTTAGATCCAACAAATACGACTCCAGCACTTTCCTCTATGTACTTTAATTCAAATGAATATTGTATTCCTCGGTTTTAAAGAACCTTCAGTGCTAAGATGTTGGTTCCGCTGTTCAATTCATGATTTCTTTATATTGATTTCGACAGAATTTCGGGTAATTTTTACCATATTCAACAATCCGGCAGAAGAATAGTTATAAAATAGGCGTAAGCCCTGTTAGAAGAATTGAAAATTGTGCATTTTTCATGGATCAAGCGAATTAGTGACTGTCGCATATTTCAAATGTATTTTTAACTTAGAATACATATCACCTTATGTAGGCATCGTTTAACGATTGAATAACGGTGCCTACATAAGGTGGTAATTTAAATCTGCTTGAAACTCTGTGATTTATATTTAAATTTACGCATTATTAAATCAAAAAGTTAGATGTCCTGAATTGCGTTGGAAGTTATTTGGTTCAGCCAAATTTTCAGTACGAGAATGGCTAGTCATATGATATTTAACGCATAATATATGCAAGTAAACTGTGTAAGATAAGGTCCACTTTGCCAAATGGAAATTTTGTCAAATTGATTACCTGTGGATGGGATAATGATTGGCTGTCTCCAGTTGGTTTAGAGCCACTGAATTTCCCTCTTGAAAAAATAATGATCCAAAGCAAAAGTGTAAGTTCTATTTCTATTTTCCTAGAGTACCTTCAGTTTGTTAACTATTGTGAACACTTTTGTTCTTTAGAAAGATTGGTGTTAGTTTGTTTCATTGTGTCCATTCGATTCGCTTTCATAATCCTCACACTCCTGTTATTACCATTGTGTACCCTAAAATTATTTTGACATTTGATTTCTCCCAGGTTTCGTAACATGTTTTCGTTTAATTTTTTAGGTGCTTGCGCTATCTAGCCTGTTTAGAACTTCTAAGGTCATCTCTAGACCTGCATCATCCGTCGTTTCCGCGTTGGAGAAAAAGTACTATCCATACATCGGAAATAGGGAAATCGTTGGATATGGGCGGAATGGCAACCCTCAGTATCTTGATGATCCCCACTTCCCATATCCATCCATCCGTTTTCGAGAAAACGACGATGCTGTATGTTGCACGTTTGTGTTATTTTTTGTAGTTCGAAGCTTTGCGCAAAAAAGAATTGGGCGACTGGAATAATTTAACTCTGGATGAAAAGAAAGACCTTTATCGTCATAGCTTTCGTATGACGATTGCCGAAACTAAAGCTCCTCATCCTCGCTGGAAGCTTTCCGTTGCATGGGCGTGCTTCTTGATGTCTGCGGCAATGCTTTACCTTTCTTTCCTCAATACTTTTAGTAAGTTGCACCTAACGGTGTCTAGGGCTTGCGTCCATCATGTAGCAATTCATGCGAAAATCTCTCTTTTGGCGCACTAACGCCTACTTTCCGTTTTTCAGTCTTGGATTTGCCGAAAATGAAGTACGCTGAAAAAGACTACAAGGAAGCGCTTTTGTACAAACGTCTGTACAGCCGCGACGGTCCGATTGATGGATTGGTGTCGGCTTTTGACTTCGAGAATATGAGGTGGAAGTAGACGCCCCATTAACGCAACCCTTTGACTCGTATCTGGTCTACTCTCAGGCTGACATTATTTCTTATGATTATATTATCGTCAAAACTAAACTTTATTTTCTGTTTCTCAGCATGTTGATCATTGTTTACTCTAGCTAGTCTCAAGTCTTAGCTCACATCCTCTATTCTGTAATTTACTAGTTTACTCGAAATCCATTCGTTTTGGCGACTTTTCGTCGCCTATTTGCAACTCAAGCGGAAATAAAGTCAAAGTTGGAGTCACGTTTTCCCAAAGCAGAAAAAATTGAAGTTACCGATATCAGCGGTAAGTCTTCTCTTGTAGTCAGCACGCGTGTCTATCATTAAGGTGGTTGTGGGGCGATGTATCAGATCTTTGTGAAGTCCGAGGATTTTGCCGGTATGTCGGTCCTTGCCCAACATCGGTCCGTCAATGAGGTTTGGGTTCTATTGTGCTTTACAGTCCCTTAGGCTTTAGGACCGGAAATAAAGTCAATGCACGGCCTAACTATTTTGACGGAGGAGTAGAAAGCCCCCTTTGAATGTAGTTGGCTTTTTAGTAGAACTGCTGCTATCTTAATCCGACTTCGGAAGTTCCCGATATCTTGATTTACTAACGCACCTGGATTAGTGGTTTGACTCTACCAAGTTGTAGATTGCTTGTTTCCCTTTTTGATTTTGCACAGCTAACCTAGGCGGCGGCGGCGCTAGGACTGAGTTATTATCCCACAAGAAAAACGTAACTTATAAGAGTGGATTTTCAACAAACTTGAACATCCAAAAATTGCGTAAACAAAGTTACATGGTGGGCACGTAGTGGTTGTTGACTAGCGTCCGGAAACGGCCGCCTAGTGTCAAAATGCTTATCAAACCAAGCTGAAAACAGGCTGGTTTTTACAATTCTAGCAAACTCTGTGGTCACCCATAGCGTCGGTCCACTGATTTTTCATTGGGCCTCGTCCATGTCCCTTCTCGCTTTCGTGCTGCTGCAAGCGGATTCGAAGCCTAGCGTTGTCGTCCTCCAGTATCTCTGAGCGGTGTTTCAAGGTTTCAACCTTAAGTAGAGAAACGCATGTCAGACCCCACACAGTTCAGGGGCTTCCTAAGTTATTGCCATCGCGATTTGTTGGCGCCAGTGTTTCCTTTGAAGTTAAAGACAGGTCTACCTCAACTCCGTCTTTGGTGTTTTAATAAAAAAACCAAGACTGGGGTACATCCCGATGGGGTTTCCTATCTATGGATGATAAGTTGCTACGGGATGGTACTCGGGAACATCAAGACTTTAATCCCTGTGTAGTCATTACTCGCGTCGAAATATGCTCGTGACAGCGTTTGCCATGGCACTGTACAATGGGGACCAGGGATTACGACGGCATGGATCGGATTTGTGTTATCATTCCGATGTGGGGTCAACGCAGCGAGAGGTCAACACGTGGTGACTAAACGACGCTTTAATTGAGGCTGCTTGGCGGGCTATTTTTTTGAAAACTACAAACAACTATCGTTGAAATCTACCCCCGGCATAACTTACTGTGGCCTGTAGCGATGTGATGGTTCCCTCGAGTTGAGATTGTACCCCAGGCCCAAGCCAATTCTCTTCTAGGTTTTTCAGGCTGCACTGCTCAACCGCCTTTCTCCAGCGTTTTTCCAAGTCCCCACAAAGTCCAAGCTCCTCTCGTAGCCTCTGCAGGCGTTGGTCCTCCTCTGTGACCATTTTGAACAAAATCTTGACAAAATTAACGTGAAACTACTTCAGCGCCTGACTTTACCACCAATAGCATCTGCACACAAGATATGCGCATTCAGGCTAAAAAACACAGCTCTCCGAAGTACTTAACTGTATTACTCTGACAAAGAGGGCTCATTCTAAAGTTGGCACACACATACACACACAGAGGTGAGTCTTTACAGCTTTCGCGGAATGCTAAAGCGCAATTGTTGGGCAGCTACAAGTGCGTTTCTGACAGCGTTAACCTAATCATAGCATCCCTCGCTGCAGTCTACTTAGTCTATGGGGAAGAACGACTGCCTTGGTAATAGCTGTTTGGATCTGTTTTATGGTTTCGTGGGAGTAAAAAAAAGTGAAAAGGAAGACTAGCCGATGAAACTACATGACAGGCGAGCCTTCGCTGCTGCAAAAACATTGAGGTTAATGTAAATGTGAACGCTACTTCAAGATACCGTAACAGAAGCCTGCTGAGCCTCTTGTAACTGTCGCAGGAAGTCCTCATGCCTGGTCTGCATCTGCGTAAATGCCTCCATAACAAAGCTGCTCCCGACCTCGCTGTTCGAATTGACCGTCTTCAAGTCTTCAACCATCTGAGTACAACTGCTCGCATTAGTAAAATAGGCATATAGACACAACCGCAGTGGGTAAAGAGGTTACCTACGGTTTCAGCATGTCACTCCATTTCAAATGTCACGTCTAGGTTTCATAGCGACCGTTTGAGCAAATAATCATTCAACCTTTTGCGTCGTCTTTTTGCCTCAGGAATTTTGGTAAACTGCCATTCTGGCTGTAACACTAGATCGAATGACAGCTGAGTCTCTCTGCTGAGATGAACTACACGGTACTTGGGAGATAAAGAACCACGTTATGTGAGAGCAAACATTCGCCTATGCGGAGAACCGCTGCTTGCTGGATGAACGAAATGATGTAATGGGTGGTGAAAAGGTCGGCAGGCTAGGGCATTTAGAATGAAAGCCTGTTTTGGGGGTCGTTGGTGTCTGTGCCTTCTGACATCACGCCGCTAAACTCACTTAAACAAACGCGACTGATTTACTACGATCAATATACGTCGGTTCAGCGCTGTCACCGCCTATGCTCACCGGACAATATAATGCAACCACAGCCCACTGTCTGTGGAGGTAATTGAATGGTGGACATGTCCGAACAGGACTGCGTTCAGCTGGGCGGTAACTATCATCCACCCTTTGCCTTTCATTGGTCCTATTTCACAAATTTTCCGTAAACGCCCCTACGCCAATGCCAATAAGGTAGACAGAATTTAGTCACTCGGTGTCTTGGCGTGTGTGTGTGTGTGTGTGAACAAGAGGAGAACCACGGTGTGACAGACACCAACCCCGTTCACAAGAAGCTACGACACACGTGACCCAGCTGACAGCAGCCTAGAGAACTAGTCTTATCTATGCTGAATGTGTGCTGTGTTTCCCAAGTGGGACTATTCAAATTGCATTTAGTAGCGAATTCAGTTTGATAGACAGTGGGCCTTTACTGTAGGTGGAGGTGTTCTTCTTCACAATTAACTCGAGTCTTGGCAAACCACACGCTGCAAGATATGCGCATGCCAATTGGCATGTTTATACGCAGGTGTGCGTTTAGTCATGCGGGCTGCTGTTGTTGTTGAATTGCATCGCAATGTCTGGCGCAGTCGGATCAACCGTAGTCGCCAGTTGAAACAAACTAAACAATTTGGCTGAAGAGCCAGCTTGTGCCACGCGGTTTAGCCTTCGGTAGGCAGATTAGATAAACGACACGCAGTGAAGTTGTGGCTGAGACGTGGGATCTCTTAGTTAGAAGATCGGGTGCTTATTGAGAAAGTATTATGCCAAAGCGAATTCACAAGACTTCCAAGAACACTTCATCAAAAGGTAGCCTGTAGGCAACACTGAAGGACGATAGTTCGCGTCGCACAACAATAAAGTATGCTCGAAATAGGGAAAATTAAGGTAATTCCAGTTAGGGAAATCATTCCAAAGTAAGAAGATGGTGTTACTTGTCAAAGCCACACAAGCTGAGGCATCGGAGGGAAAACAAGGAAGAAGAACAACAATGACTGCCATCAAATAGCACACACTCTCTCAAAGCATGCGGAAGGCGGTCTGTAGAGCTGGCTTTATTTACCGCTGGTAAGGCACCAACTGAGAGGACGCGTGATCGGCGCGTTAAAAGCTGAGATAAGATGTGGAGATAAGATGTAGAATGTGGGCAAAACGGCCAGAGGCTACACATCTTTCCACCACAAGCACCGCCATTCCTCATGCCTTCAAAGCCAAAAGGCGCGTTCGACAAAAATTTATTGCTCAACTGTGTCTCCTGCGTGCTAACTAGATGTCATTTCTGTCTGCAGTTGCTGCGGGATTTCCAAGCGGCTGAGGCTTCTTCCCTTTGACCTCGCACTACCCCAAGAATGACACGCCGTAGGTCCTCTTTAAGACCTCCCACGCCAATTGGCTACATGGCAGGACCTTGAAATCAACTTTACCCGCCACGCTAGGATTACTTTTGATTCCATAACGTTTGACAACACTACTGGCGCAGTAGCTGTCAACTCATCCCACGAGACTTCAAGCAATGCTGAACAAGGCCTTTGAAAACGCAGTTATTGAATAGTCAAACTCATATGCTACCTTGTAGGTGCTCTCATCACCTTGCCTGCCACAGAACACACCAATCACCTGTCAATCTCAAGGCTGAATCAATCGGAAATGATTTAGTGATTCGAGGGATTGAATTCAAGCCACCCTGCAAAGTCTCCTGAAGGTCTAATTCCCATAGACAGGAGATTACAACTGGAACGGGGCCAACAGGGCTCGCGTGTGTGTGGACACCTCAACAGTGCTCAAAATGTCAATCCTGCCGATCTCACTACCGTCCTGTGAAGTAAACGCAGGACTCTGGACATGCGAAACACATCAACGCACCCACCATCTTTCGACACCGTGTAGCTCACGCGGAAACCAGATATGATCAAGGGCGACACGGTTAAAGGCAACCGTCTAGACACCTGGACTCTCCGCGACGTTCAGTGCGTGCTCCGTTTTGTGGACACGGAGTGGTCATGGCCGTGGACATCGTCTTGGCAAATGCCACACATTTGACAACGGGAACGTCACGCTTGCACGCGACAGTTGGACGTCGCGTCGACAACACACGACGACTTTGACCACCGCGCGGTTACTGGAAGACCCAACACACATTCAAGAGTCTGGGTCGATGGTCCCACTAGTGGGATACAGACTGGGGTCATCGCACACTTTCATTGCGAAAATCCCTCCAATGCACGTTTAATGTGCAGTGCGCGCACGTCGCTTGTAAGCACTTGCGTGAGGCAATCGCCAAACGTGTTCGGTTGACACACAAACCCAACTGCGCCAAGCGGCAATGCTGTGCCTCCGTGATGCTTTTGTGGTCGTTCATTGAATTACCCTTGCTGTAAGAGGTTGTCTTTCATGTTGTTCTCTCATTCAGAACTCTTTTTCCTTAAATTAAACATAATGCCGGGACGGACTTAGTGAGCCGGGAGCAGGAGTTAGAGGTCCTGGAAACGCTGCCGAATGTTCTCTAGTTGATGTCTGTCAGCCTCGTAACATACACCATGGATTTGTTAGTCAAACATTTAAAAAAGCAACATCGTGGATAAAGCTGACGTAAAACCAAGTTTGCTAGCAGAGAACATGAAACTTCCACCACAACTGACCTCGAAGTGGGGAGCATGAATTTCACGGGATCACGTGATTGTGCACACCATGCATACCCTCTTGCATTTTAGGTCAAAATCCGTAAATTTGCCGCAGGATTGAGGCCTTGTCGTAGGTCATTTTGACGACACGCTCATGCTTCAGAAGGTTTTGGCGAATTTCAACGAGAAACCGGACACTCACCTTCACGACTTTCTCGAGTTGAATTTTACAATCCTCGGCCTGACTCCGTTCGCCCAGTTGTCGCTCGAGACACGCGACTTGCGCTCTGACATCGCGATCCATTGTCGACATCTCGGTGAACAGACGTTGCATTTCTAACGAGTGGGCCAACTTCAGCCTCTCCACTTCATCTTCCAGACCGGAATTCGAGGCCTTGGAAAAGTTGGAAGCACTTAAAGGCCAACGCATCTACGAGCGCACGAGAAATGACTCCAATTTGGATAAAGTTTCGCATTGCCAACTCTATAACCTAGTCTGCACAGATTCATGTGCTGCTTTAGAAACTGTAGGTCAACCCACACGGAAGGCATGCACGAAGCTTGTCGTCTAAATGACCTTGTTTGAAATGGAAGCAGTTATTGCGGGAGTCTCCCAAAAATTCAAATTACTTAATGGTGATTGGAGATTTATTCGGCCAATGAACAACCGCCAATAATATCCTCAACCCCAACTAATTTTAACAACATTTTGAGCCGAGTTCAAGCATGAAGTCCTTATGCACAACATGACGTCTCTTCTTGAATTACAATGAATCGCGATACGCTCCAATCCCCCCGTCGAAGGAGGTGGAATTAAATTGTTTACCGAGTCGAAATTTCGAGCTTTTAAAGCCTCTGTCTTGGTCTACTGGTTTGTGAAGCCCACAACGTCGCTTAACTGGCCGAATTTTCGGAGACCTACTCGGTGACCTAGTCAATCGGGAGAAAATAAAGCTCACAAAAAGCCTCTTCAAATGCTCACCTTTAGGGATTCTATGTTGGCTGTCAACTCTTCAATCACCAAGGCTTGGCTCTTTAACATCCTTTTTTCAAGCGCGTTCTCCTGTGCTTCTTCATTGGCCTTCGTCAGCTATGATTAAAACAAACGCCACAGTGACCTTGGGAGCGCTTGTGCAACTAAATCTGTCAATTTTTGCAAACTGACAAGAAAAACCACAAAATCGCCACTCAACACTAACTGAAGGAAACAGGTAAATGGTGGAGACGATTCGGAGAGCATACCTCAGTTTCCTGACATTTCGTTGTGTCAGATTCTTCGGCGATATTTTTGGCACATCTATGTTGCAATTGGTGCATCAGTTCCTCGTGCTTGCCTCTTACAAGGGCCAGTTCGTCGATTAGATCAGCCAATCGTGTCTTGAAGTTGGTGCCGATGAACTGAAGACTTGAAAATTTAATTAATAGTAGAGTAAATCTTAGGTATCGGCTTTTCAAGAGAAACGATTTGACAGTCGAAACGCCCACTAACGCGAACTAATCGAATCATTGAATTCGGCTGTGATGTTTTTATCCAAAATTATCAGTTATTGATTTTCCCACCGATCGATACATATTTAGTTGAGCATGAGCGTGTAAGGGTTTACATATATGATGAGACGTTCACCATATGCTTATCATTAAGTTATAATTAAAATATGGAGTATGATTAGTTACCTCGATTTGGTTGCGTGGAGTTCGTCTGATACCGAGGAAATAATCGAAACAAACTCGCGATTTTTTCGTTTCAAAGAATAGTTTTTTTCTAAGGTTTGGTTCAGTTCTTTCTCCATGACCTGACACCTTTTAAGATTTTCACCATTTCTTTTTTTCTGAAAAGCATGCATTCAAAGTGAAAACGATGGGTGAAACGTGTTTGCCAGTGTCATATAGTGGTTTCATTCGCAGTTAAATCAACTACAAAGGCAGCCACTGAGTCCGACTTACAAGTAGGTCGAGTTCCTTGTCCAGGTCAACAAGGCGGGCGTCGACGCCAATTTCGCGAGTACTCAGGTCCTCTGTATTCGTTGCCTCGTTTCTAAACCAGTCACTATTTAGCTGAAATCGGAAGAAATTTTTATTTCCAAAGCATTAACATTCTCTTCGGCCGTTCAACTTGAATAGCAATAACTACAGACGCGTCAGGAAATGTTAGAATAACGCTTTTTAAAAGCTTTTTCAAAGTAGACGGACTTTCAAAACCTCATGTCAATTGGTGTGCAGAATTATGTGAGCACGATTCGCTTGTGACAATATAAAAAGTGGAGAATGTGAAATCCCCACCTTTTGACGAATAACTAATAAAAGTCTACTGCTAGATTTATGGAGCTAGTAGCATATGTGTCGAGAAAACGTCCGAATTATTAAATATAACGTACGTGGTCTATCGATTTTTTGCCTGGCGATACACTTGATGTGGATCTACGTCGACCAATACTACATTTAAGACCCTTTCGATCGGTGGAAAGATTTATGAAGGTTCGTTCCGGAGAAGCGGAATGGGACGGGGTTCGCATGCAACTGGCTTCGACTGACGAACCCGTTGTGGTGATATGGCCCTGTGAAGAGTCTGAGATACGTTTGTTAACCTTTCGTTGTTGCTGCGCTTTTGGTCTAGTTTTCGAATCCAGCTCACTTTCTAGTAATTTAGCCAGTTCACTTAGCTTACTCTAAAAAATTAATTTAAAAAACAGCATGTCAATGCATAGATCGTATATTCAGGTATCAAACGTTGATATAGAAGATGTATTCGAACATTTCTATATACTTCCATGATTATTATGAATTACGAATAATTATAAAAAAATTGCAGTACCAAATGTAAAACGTGGTGTGAAAGTGTAATCCACTTTTATGTATAGACACAACATTATTGAATTGCAATAAAAATCCTCTTCTGTGTCTTTATGCCTGACCCAAACTGTTTTTAAACGATTGTAAGTTGTGAAAATCAAAAAATTCAAAGATATTTCAAATTTGCAAAAGTTTGGTAATAAATGTAGTGAAATAAACTATATACTTTATAAAACACACAATCGATAGTCAATCAAAATATAATTCGTGACGAGAAACGCACTAATGGGTTTACTGTACTGAGCGATTCTCATGACTCGGAAAAATAGGACGCCCATCAAAAGTGTCGTTTACTTGATTAATGTAAACTAGGAGTTCTTTAAGTTTAGAATAAGCTAGGGATCAACAATGCATGGTCACTGCATTAACTCTGGAGAGCACTTTCTCGTTTTCGAATTCCGGTGCGCAGATAAAGCTTGAAATATTTTTTTACCACGAATACTTCAAGTTAAATTAGCTTACCAATCCATGCTATGGGATACGTACAAAGGTAAATAACCTATCACATTTCAATTGTTTTCACGCCAAAAGATAGCACAGAAGCCCACAGCTTTTTACCTGTAATGACATATCGCGACCGTAAGCAATTCGTAGAGAGTGAACATGAAGCAGTTAATTTAAAATTGATTAATAAATTAAAGTCGGACTTGATATAATAATCATGGAGTTTGTGTAACCGAACACTAAAATGAGATAAACGCATCTTAATAGTTAAGCCGCACATAATTTTATTCCCAATTATATTTGAGGCAGCGTTTTAAAATAGTTTATGTTCGAAAGGTGCTGGCTTAAAGAATAGGACCAATTTTTTTCAAAATGTATCGACAAAAGTGTGTGACAGGAGGCGAATTCAAAGTCTGGGTCAACAACGCTTAAAAACTGAAAATCGACTAAGAGAATTTTATTCAGTCCTGCTTCCTTTTATGTCACACAGCTACTAGAAAAATTATAACTTTTTTGAAAAGCCACAAATCTCGGTCGTAATCAATGTACTTTCACAAATGCATTGAGATTTAATAATTAAAGGAAACTAAATATTGCAATTTTGCAGCGGTTGGCTGAGAATGTTATCAATTTTGATAACTTGCCTACTCCGGTGCATTTATTTGAAGCCACGTTCCTTCAAACAATCTTAAACGGACAGAAGGTCTCATGCTCTTCTTTTTCAACGCATTACTACGTTAAATTATTTGACTATTATTTCGCTTTAAAGATTATATTGATAATACTGCTAAAATTTTAATTGGCTCTAAAGAATCTCTCGGAGCGATGTTTTAGTGGTTAAAACCGTACGGCAAGCCTATTGGTTCCTTATGTTACAGCCTTCTCTCTATTAAACCGATTTTCTTGTCACGTCTTCGTTACAGTCTATTGCACTATCTAATGCCAATTTTCCAAAATATAAGATCATGCGTGCGTCGAAAGCAAGGGGTTACGCGGAGACCGACAAAAATCCACTTTAACGTTAGAATGGTTGACGCGTTTAAGTCTGAGAACGTCGCTTCTCAATTAAGGGTATTTCTGCAACTTTTGATAATGGGCTTTTCCAGGATCTCCTCGTCTATATAGCTCGGGAAGGTGTTGCAGTGACCGATCTGTTTCGGCGTCCCGGGAACCTTCAATCAATTAAGAAAATAATAGCTGATTTGGAATCTGGACGACCTATTAATTGGACTGACTATAATTTTTACACACTCGCAAATATAGCAAAACGGTTCCTCCTTCATATCGAAGGCGGTATTCTTGGGGAAGAGGCGGAAGAAGCATTACTTAAAGCACTGGAGATTCCTGATATCGATGCTCGTAATGCACAAATGAAATTGTAAGTTAACACCTTTGACAGAGGTTACCTTAAATCACAATGCCATTTTTACTGACGTGCCCATAATTATTTTTATCATACATATGATGATCGTATTATGAGTAACTTTTCTCGTTGTAGGATCATAACGTCACAACCGAAGACCGTTCAACAGCTTCTTACTTTGCTTTTCGGCACGTGGTTCAGAATGATTTACCACACTGAAGTTAATGCTATGTCTGTTGAAGCCGTGGCAAAATCTGTAGCCGGATCGATATTTCCTAGCTGTACATATTCACCGGAAAAAGTGGGTCCTTATTCCTTGTTTTGTATTTCCAATTTTTTTTTCAACCCATATCTTTTTGAAATTTCTCCAATCCACCCATCAGGCATGCTGTCTTTGCTTGTTCAGTTCAAGTTTTCCCATTAACCGAATTAACCTGGTTATTTTTCATCGTGTTTAAATTCCTACCTTGTCGTTCTGGGACACTATTGCCATTTTACTAGCTAATAGATGGTCATTTGTCTCACAATATTTTTGTTAATTGCTCTCCGAAAATACATATCATCTGAAACTCATTCGGTCTACATTAACGTGCTGTGTGCCTCTCCTTTGTAGTCACTAACTTTCGTTAAAGTCCATCTACACTTCCTGTCTTTAGTACAAGTAATTCCACTTTTCCTAGCATCCGCAAACCCCACAAAATGCTCTTCCTTAATATCCAGCGAAACTGTGCCTTTCGCGCCAGTTTGTCGTAGTGCAACTCGGGACATTTAATTAAGTCGTGGTGATGTTTGTGTATTTTGTACCTTTTCAAGGTGGAAAAGGCCTCAAAGGTTATGGAAGTTCTAATCGTCGGTTTCGCCTCGACGGAACTCTTCGGCCGCGAGCTAATTGAGTACTTCACGCGCGAGACTAAGACGAGTATTTCGAGGGTGGAGAAATTCAAGTACGAGTTCCGCTTCCCAAAAAACGTTCCCAGTAAGTTCTCAGGCCCAAATTACCTCACTGCCGTTGTGCACAACTTTACCGTGGCTAGTTTGGTGCTGAATGGAAAGAACTCCCACCGCACACACACGTTTAAGACACAGGAATTCATTCACTTTCGTCTTTTCGAAGCTTTTAAAACGACGCACTAAGTTTGAAACACACCCACCCACGCGCGCGCACGTTGTCAGTGTCCGTAGTGTGCAAGTTAGCAGGGTTGTTGAGTATTGATTGCTTCGCGTTCTGGGGTGTTTACTGTCCTCGTAAAAACGCTCCTTCTTTCCTCCTTCAGAGCCTCGCTCCACTCAAATGTTCCGCCAAATGTTGATTGAGGAGAGCAAAAAGCATGGATTTGATATTCTCAAGGACGGTGAGTTTTCTTCGACTGTTTTAAGTAGCCTACTTAAAGTTACCACGTAAAACAAAACCTAATCCTATTGGATAGCCAGGTGTAGTGTAACCAATAAGATGTCTTTCCTTTATCAAAAGAAATCTCTGTTTCAACCCTGTAAATCGTCGAACCATGTCATGATTGAACGAAATCTCGCTCAAATTATTGGAAGGTGACCCGAAAACGGAATCTGGGGATGTGGCGAGCCTTCTTAATTACGAGTTTGATTGACAATTTTGCAATGTGATTGCTTTTCCCTTTATCGATTTTTGTCGAACATGGACGTCTGCATCGACTGTTCCATTAATCACAACAACCTCATAACGAATGATGTCTTCATAGTCCCAATGACTTATTCCTCGGCCCCAATGTAGTGCAACGTGAAAGCCCACACAGTAACCGGTATAGCCCACCTCGAACGCCACAGTGCACTGGCTAACATGTGGGTCGGCGGTGCGACCTTTCCTACGTAATCCGGTCTGCCATTTATGGGGTTTTATTAATGCCCTTGCGTCTTCTTGCCAGTACCCTTGATGCTTTCTCTTTTGTCCCTCTGTCCGTCAATTTCCCGCTTCCACACAAATTGCAGAAAAGTCATTGCTTAGATTGCGAAATGCGCCTTCTCTCACCACTGGTTATGCTTCCAAACGTGTTGGGCTGTTCTCGTGGACTTGACTGTAGGCCTTTTGCGAATAACTCACCAACTTGACCACCACCGAATCTTGATTAGAGTTCACTGGAGACCTTCATTACCAATCCAAATTCCTGCCTCTGGTGTGCATTTCCCGATCCTGAGTGCTCTATTTGTTGAACCGTCGTGTGTTCTAGTTGTGTTTTCACGCCGAATGCGTCAGTCCGGTTCCTTTCAGTCCTCTTTCAACAGCCCTCGGCTCCACGTCCCTCGACTTTGGCATGGTACTTTTGGTCTCTGTTCACCGAAATGCCAATTATTAAGCTGAGACATACTTACGCAGAGCTAATTGATGAGGCTGTGTGTCTATGTAGTTGACATTTAGTGATGCGGTAATTTGATTTCTGATAGGCAAAAAAGAGCGAGGGAGTTTGATTTTGACGAATAGCCGCCTGCCTGTGCTTTTTGTCAATAAAGAAAGCCCAAATGGTAGGACCTACTCTTGTGCTAAAAACACTCCAGGTCTATTCCACAGGCACCTGTTTTTGGAAGAGGCCACCTGAATGACCTCGTGTCGTGCTTGTTGTCAACTAATTTGGATGCTTTGTCCCAAAAAAGATTTTCTCCGTCCGAAACTCGTTTCCACGTCCCCACACACATCGTCCCCCTCAAGTAATGTCACTTCACCTGTGGGATGAACAAACATCCTGCTGTTTGTGCGCCCTCCTTAATGCTACAAAACCCATGGACTAATTAAATTTGTTTATATTTGATGTTTGTGTGTGTGTGGGGGGGCGAACTTGTGAAAATAGTTGGTTTTCCCTCGCTGTAAGATGGATCGCCAAACTGATGGGTCTTGACAGGGTGGCATTTTCACACGTTCAGCTGCATCAAGCCTGACTGTGCCTTAATCAGCTTACTCTGTCAATCTGTCCTGTTGACTAGCAAACGTCTTGTTAAGCGACCCTTCCATAGCTTACACCCTATTAGTTTGAACAGCTGAGGTACCACCGATTGGCGATTGGTGAGTGGTGACAGTGGCTTATCCTACAATCGTATCCGCTTCATTTTCAGATAACAGTAACTGTGTAATAGTTCTATCAAGGGCCTAGTTTCTTGGAGTCTTTGAAACAATCTTCAACCCCGCAATTTCCAGTCGTGCTGCCGATTCCCTTGCACTTCTGTTGCGCCTCGGACAGAAAATCGATGCTCTCTCCCCAACGCTATCACAAAACCCTTCACTAACCACCCTGTGACTGCTGTTTTGCTGAAGTGGAGGTCGCTCTGTTCTTTTACCTGCGTTTTCAGAAATCCACCAGTGCGACCTGTCTAATCTCCGACAGCGTCATTAAACGCCAACTAATCACGTCGGTTGTAGTCTTGTTCGGTTTTGTGCTCTCACCAAACCGTCCTTGTGATTTTCGTTCGTGTAAACTTGGTGTGCGCGCGCATGTTTATGCTAGAGGTGGACAATTGTACTGTGTTGCGTAAATCTACTTCACTCCGACTCATTCTAACGTGCTTTTTTTGTCACGTGATGAGGTTTTCTTAGAAAGCCATCCTCATCATCTCTCGTCGCCTCAAACAGCAATTTGTTCAGCTCCTCGTCTTTTGCATTGGCACTCAAAATCGATTTCGGAGAAACCTCTTGCTTTGTGCCTTAATTTGGCCGGTTCCAAAGGAGTACACTGGGGCGTTAACACCGACTCCATATCGGGCTTGTTGTGTCTCGCTCTTTCTTTGCATTATTAACGACTGCCGCGACGACGGTGTCTGCAGTGGTTAAAAAAAAACACAGAGCAATTTACCCGTTTCAGGTTGTGGCGTGTTAACTAAGCTCAAGCCTCACATATGTATGCGTGCCAGAGGCGGGGGGCGGGTCATTTGAGTTGAGGACAGCTGCCCATCCACGCGTGGAGAACTGTACTTTCTCCCGCTTGTGTACTTTTTGCCTCCTCGTCGTGTGCTATCATGAGGACACTGTATGTATTGAAGGTTTTTCCTTTGCCTTGCCCCTGTCTAGAAGTCACTAGGGAGGAGTTCGAGCTAGCAAGTCAGCCGGTTACCTACGCCAGCCCCCAGCAGTCCACCGCCGCCGCCGTCTCCGCAGGCACTGAATCGAATGGCCCCAGGCCAGCTGTCACCCCGTCCACTCCGAGCTTCCGTGTCCCGCTCGCCCCCCTCCAGCCCACAACCCAGTCCCCTGTTCCCTATGCGCCTCGCTGCCTCCTCGACGAGACTGCACAGGGTAGGTTTAATTTCCCTCCCCCACCCCACCCACTCGTTTCACCTCATTAATCCCTAGTTAATCCGTCCAGCCAATCCGAAACGCTGGCGTTTTTCATTTGGCGTTCTGAGATGGGCGACTGTTTTGGCATGGCCACCAACGCGTGTCCTGACTCACACACTGCTGATACTGCCCTGGGGACGCGCAAACTGGCTTCTCTCTGAATTCTGCATTATATATCCGTCTGCCAGATGGTGATAGCTCCGTGGCGTTTATTGCGGACACAGCCAAGGGCTTAAGAATCTCCTGGTGTCTGCAATACCGACTCGATTCACGACTCGTGCGCACTTCATTGCCCTCCTCCGATTAAACTGCGTGCCGCGCATTCTTCTGGAGGCACGTGGCACGACTTGCATCAGGCGGTGCTAAGAGTTCACGCAACCCACAAACGCACAAACGGTTGTTTTCGGGTTTCACTAACGTGCAATTCTGGTTGCACTTATGGGTGCTGTTGTCCTTTTCCTGGTGCTGTTTCGTGTGTCTGCCGCGGCTTCAGACACGCGGAAAAGGAGTTGCCTAACCCTCTCCCCACCCCCCTACTCCCCGCTATTCCCTCAACAGCGGTGCGCAATCACGACATGGGGCGTGGTCATGTGTGGCCTTCAATTTGGTTGGGAAGTTAAAAGCCACATCCACCACCGCCGCCACCCGATGTTGTTGCCCGCTCATTCACTGCATACCTCGACTTCTGATTGGGCCCTACCAAGCCTTTGCAGATTTCAAGTGATTCTTTTTGGAATTCAGAAAGCAGCAACAACAACGACTACTGTGTTGGGGAGCGGTGGAATGTCGCTTAATCACGCACTCGAGCTATTAGGTGTGTGGCTTAGTTTTCACTGATTTTTTAGCAAATTTATTCTACGCAAAAAAAATTGGAGAAAAACGTAGTTAGTCTTGGAAATGTTGTGTTGCTGCTGCTGCTTCATTGATCGGAACGAGTGGTATTCGGATGGGTCCGAGTCTGGTGTGGAAGAACTTTCCGTACCAACTTCAGGGGGGTCTTGTCAGTCGCGCGAGCAACGCGAGGTGGTCGAGCGTTGTCACACAGCAGCAGCAGCAGCAGCATGACATGCCTGACTCTTTGTCCAGCAAATGGCCTTTCCACATCTCTGGCCTCTTCGCTCAGTTTGTTCAATTGTCAGCAGTCACCGCCTGACCGGTTTCACGAGTTCGTAGTAAAGTACACCCTTCACGTCCCACCACATACACAGGAGAACCTTCAGCTTCAAGTGGATGTCCTGTTTCGGCGTCGATGTGCCGGGCTGCTCGATATCTATTCAGAAATTTTTACGCTTGGGAGCCCCGTAAAAATGTACTTTTCATTACCCGTCGCAATTTTTCACAAGAAGTCCATTGTGTGTTAGGTTGTGTTAGGTCCATACAAGTGAAACCCAACTTCCGAGTGTTTGAACTTTTCCCATTTGGTGCAAACGCTTGAAAATAGGTGTTTGGGTGAGCCCTACTTAAGCTCCCAGGCCCTTGTTGCGTGTGCGTTGAGTCTTCATCAAGCGGAGCTTGCAATTCCGCATCTTCAAACTGTCGAGGCTGCTGTCCGGGGCGCGGCTGGTCACTAACATCGAAATCGCCACTTCTGAATCGTCGGCACCAAGAACACTACAAATTGATTCTCTTCGTGCTTTTGAAGCAGCGTTTTTTTGCCTTGTTGGAATTCGTGTAAAATGCAGTGCCATCGAATGTGCTGTTCATCAGTTGCCATCGTCGTAAACTCAACTGTTCTTAGAAGTTATGTGACTTCACGTTCAGTTTTCTGAAATCCTGCGTCCGATCCCTTCAAAACCACAAAAAACCGCGGAAATGCGTCTAGTTTAAGCATAATTTTGTGTTTGAAGTGGAGCTCTATAAAACTTGGGCCACAGCACGTTCATCAAATCTCGAACGCCATTCAGCAAGCTCTTGTTGCGTTTGCGTTGAGTCTTCGTCCAGTTGAGCCTTGCGTCAGATTCCTTCAAACCCACAAAAATCGCGAGAATATGCCTATTTGAGTACAATTCTCAGCTTGTGGTTATTTGTACTTATTTCACACATCACATGGCGTTGAATCTCCATCCAGTAGAGCTTGCAATTGCGCATCTCCAAACCTTCGAGGCTGTTGTCCGGGGCGCGCGCCCGGTCACTAGGGCCGAAATCACCACCTGTAAAACGCTTGCCCGTTGCACAAGTCTCGGCTGTCTTGGAAAACAGAAAACGCCGTTTCCACAACACGCGTGTGTTGCCGGCAGTAATCTCGTTGCTATTACGTGACCAGCGCTAGTCGCGTGTGATCCACTACTGCAGCCTAATGCCTGGGTTTTTGCGCACATACACGCGCACAGCTAGAGTTGTTAATCACACTGACCGTTTTGAACCGATCCTGGTTGACGGACTGAATCGAAATATGCACTCCCAGTGGACTTTGGCCCCCCTCAACATCGCTAGGGAGGTCCAACTCATTCCGTGATCGGGCACTTTTTTTTTTAAAAAAAAACGTCAACTTCACACGTTAGTAGGCTTAAGTGGGCGTTCAGTCCCCAGAATTTCGGGTGTACTGCAATGTGTGCATAATTACGTCGCGCTTCGTCATGTCTGGCGGGTGTCTAATTGCATGCCTGTCGTATCCACCGTGGAGGCGTAGATGAACGCTTTTCATGGTTCCTGTTGTTGTGGTGCAGGTACAGACGAAGGCGAGGACGCCGACATCCTGATAGATCGTGTGCAGCAGTACTCCGAGAAACGGACTTGCATCACCGCAACCTCCACCAGTGTGGGCGACCCCCGCTTCCGCCGACGCGACAGCAGCGGCGTGGGGGAGGAGGAGGAGGAGCGCATCTCCAGCCTCGGCTGCCGTCAGTACGACTCGCTCTCTGAGATAGCCGACCTCCCCGAGGTGCAGGATCGTTCTCGGGTGAGTGATTTGGACTTTTTGCCTTGTTTAAGTACACCTTCGGGCTGACAGCTGCTTTGGGTGTTATCTCCGCTTGGTATGGGCATAAATCGGTAATTTATTGGCGGTTTACGCGTACTTTTAGCGTGAAATTACGCGCATACACGCACAGTTGGTGTCATGTACGCTCATTCTAGTCAGTTTTCAAATCTGGCGTTTAGTGGAACGAGCACACATGCGCTACCGTCACGACTACCACTAACCAGACGCGTGTGCTTGGTGCATGTGATTCAGTCGCTTTCATAGTTGGGGGGCGGGGTGAGGCGGTCATGAGTTAAGACATAAAGCCATTAACCTCGCAGCTTGTAAACACGCGAAAACTGCTTAGGCCGCTGGAGGGAAATCGCAAGTTTAATGGTGTTGATTGGTCACCAGAACTCACGTGCCAGTGCTAGCTGGAATCCACTCCAACTGTCTTGAAATTGGTACAACGGTGAAGTCTTTGTCGAAACTGAGTAAATTGCGTCAGGAAAAGAACCAGCCAAACGACCACCTCGCATGTTTACTTCTCTCGATCAGCCTTTCTCCCGCCCAAAACGGCCACCAGCGGGGGTGCAGGGAGCGTTGTTTGTTTACTTTGCGACGCTCGGCTGGCTTTGTTTACCCCTCGTTCCTGCTGTTTTGCTAAAATTGGGCCCTCGTAAACGCTCCTGAAGTTTTCGCCTCGGTTTTTTGCCAGTTAAAAAATCTGCAACCTCCACGTCGTAGCTGCCGGAGTGCACAGCGTGCATTCGACCGGCAAAACTCACCCCATCACGCCTCCGTTCCACTTACTGTGATCGCAAAGACTGGCTGGTCGGTGGTGGTGGTGTTTGTATTTTGTGGTTCGGCTGATGATCTATTATTGCGACAGTTTTGTTCTTCAAATTACTGCCGCTCCAGCAGTTGTCACTCGATGAATTGGCTTGCTATCCACAAAACACGCAAGTAAATAAGGCCTGTCCATTATCTGTCCAGAAGACAGTCTATCATCTGCTTCGTTTGGCCGTCGGTTTTGTCCGCACCACGACAGGCGCAGTGTCCACTTTTGGTTAAAAGGCAATTTCTCAAAGCACATCGATTATCGTGTCTCCGGTATTAAGCTCGTGGTTACTGCTAAAGCTATTCTCGTTTTTAGTTGTAAATGCTTTAACCAGTTTGTGTAAAACTTCGTCTTACTCACAAAATTCGGCAGTTTTGCAATCACGTTAGTTCCGTCTTAATGTCCTGTTAGTAATGCTTGGCGCTGCTAGTCTCGTGTAAGTGTTGATGCAGGAGAAGCCGCGTAGTCGGTTTCGGCGACGATGTGTCTGGGTGCAGGGATCTGCAGAAGCTTGTTTTGCCCTTTTCCGAGGTGATTGGTGGCTGAAAAAACGTGTTTCTGAAGCTGCAGTTGCAGAACATCGGCTGGGGAAGTCGGCGCTGTTTAGACAACCATTTCAAGGGTCCTGTGATCGGGCAGTGGGTCCGTCGGGCGTTGTTTGTTGTAGATCGCCGCCTTCGTGACCACTTCAAACACCGCTTTGCGTCGTCTCTCGCCACAGAATCGTTGAAGTCGTCGTCAATACTAGACGCTGAACATGGATCGGATTCAAACGTCGCCTCGTAACCCAAAGAATTCCACACGCAGATGAGATGAAGCTCTGGGTAACAATGGGATGCTACCGAGGCGTTGTTTTCGCATTCGCCTGACACCATGCATTCAGTGTGTTGAGGTTTTTTGTGGGGTCAAACTATCGAGCGTTAACGATTTTACTGTTTGTGTATCCACTTTCTTGAGCTCTACGTCTAGCAATTCGTTAGATCTTCAGAAGCCAGTCAAATACAAGCTCTAATTCATGACGTTCAACTGGATCGAAGAGCCTTCCGATTGCCGATGGTTTATCTCTCTCAAATTCCCGAATCTCCTGCCGAGTTAGTCTTGTTAAATATCAACCAAAATTCTCGAATTAGTCGCCAGACAAAAACGGCGCTGGCGTCATTGGATTACACGAGGTACACGATGGTAGAGGTGGCTTTGTGTACACAAAATCGGCTCCACGAAAACCCATTAATCGCCTTTTTTCGGGTCTCGTAAACTCGGCCACACGCGGCGTGTTAATCTGATTGTCGTTTGTTAAGCACACGTACACCTTCTCCGTGGTGTTGCATGGTCAGATGGTTGCTGGGTTGGTAGCCAAATGTTCCCATTTTCGATAAAGTTGATGTGTGCGGTTCGGTTGCGCTCACCACCACGCCTACCGGTCTTTCACTCGACTGCGCGTCAGCACTCTGCCGTGGCAGTGTGTCTGTTGCTATGGCAGCCGGTGCCTCTTCACGGCTGTCACCGAATGCCTCTCGTTATTGATGCAGGTCACGTCTGCAACGGACGCTCTCTGCTCACGATAATGCAGGTGGTGGAGGTCACATTACTGTTGAATCCAATATGTGAGGTGCGTTCCACGTGGAATCCGGCTGCCGGAACCACTGACGCGATTGCCTTGTTGTCTTGTCTTCTTGTAGTTCTTCGTTCCCGGCTCAGCGACCTACGGATCGTGTTTCAATTCCGTCAAGAAGAAACAACTGGAGCGTCTGCAGAAGCGCTCGGATTGGTTCCTCAGCCCGCCAGCTGGCCTTCGGAATTCTGGGATGATGCGCGTCGACTTGCCCACCACGCCGGGTATGTCACTTTTTTTTACATCTACGCACCGAAAAAAAAGTCATCTATTTCATTTCTAACACCTTCACGCGCTCACATAGATGAATCTCGGCGCGACACAACTACGACAACCGGAAGTTTACTATGAGAGACTGTCTTGTGCTGGTGGCAACGTCGTGGCAGTTCCTTAGCGTCCAAGTCGTTTTGACGATTCCCGCTTATTCATGTTGGCTATTTTTTTCAGCAAAAAAGACGGCTGGTCTTTTTTCTCACGAACACAACTTTTTTTGAATGCAAAACGCACTTAGAAATCCGCACCTACCAGTTCAAATGACGCTTCGCGATTCAAATTCAGCTTCACCCCTCCCCCCCCTGTGAACACCTTCAGTTACTGCACCGTGTGAAGACGCATAACCAGTCCAGGCCCGAACCGCTAATTAGCATTTACTGGGCTCTCAAGTTCCCATCCACTGTCGATTCAGGTTTTAAAGATGCGTGACAGCGGGTTCTTCTAGGTTCTGTGGCCGGTCCCGCTTCAAGCTGTTCCACGCCACTCCAACCCTTTCCAAACCAAACTCTAGAACTACTTCGACAGGCAGAGGTGGCGACAATTTGTGGCCAAAATCGACCAAGCACGCCTGCTTTGTCGGCCCTTGTCTGTTGAGGATCGCCTTGTCGTGCTGGTCTTGGGGATGAATCGTTCCAACTGCGGTAACGCTATTCCTCGCATCCTCTAGTCTGCCTGCAGTGCCGCTTTAGCCTCGTGTGTGTGTGTGTGTGTTTGTGTGTGTGTGTGTGTGGCGCTAACTCAAACACCCCACGCCAGCCCACCAGCATGTTATCTCCCAGCGCTATTTTTAGCCCGCGGTCGCCACAACGGGGGTTCAACTTTGTCGCGCCACGCCTCTTGCTCTCCCTCACTCTCTCCCGCCCTTTCGTTGCATCGTCGCGAGGCATGCGTGGGGTACTATTTTTAACAAGTGTCCGTTTCCGTTTTGGCCGTAAGACGTCCCTAATTTGACCCACTTACCGCTGCTCGTATTGCCTGTCCTCGCAGTAGTGCTGTTCCAGCGCTACCGCCTTTTCTTGCGCTGAAATTCAAACCGAACGCAAACTGGACCGCTAGTCGCTTTTAATTGCCCAAAATTTGCCCTCCCATTTGGCCTGATAAGCTCGGATGGGAGTTTGGCGGGGGTGGGGGTGGGGGAGTGCGTATGAGTCCTTGCCAAGTGAGATTATGCGTGTGTGTGTGTGTGTGTGTGTGAACTGGAGCCGTTGCCCGGAACGGCAATAAACTGACGTGTCGGATCATTCGCTTCTGCGCAATTACCCGACCGACAAATTTCCCTACTTCCTCCCTCTCTCCTCTCTCTCAGTTTTCCTAAGGTCATTCTGCGCGTTCTGTAGCTACTTTTATTGATCGAATACCGATACCAAGGAAACACTGGGATGGCAGGCACGACCGTTTACTAGACAGCTCAATCTAGTTGTGTTGTGTACATTTGCGGTTCAGTGGACATGTACGAAAATAAACACAGGTGTCTGTGACGTCACATGACTAAAACGGGTGGTGGTGGTTTTGGTATATGCAGGGAGGTTAATGAAATGACGTATGTTGGAAGCTTCGACGACTGGGGTATTGGACATGAATCAACACGAATCCCTACACCGCAAATCCCGCTGCTATTGGTTCTTCAGTAAAAAGGATCACTGCTGATTGGCCGAAAGCCATTTCGATATTTTCCGTGTCTAGTGTGATCACTCCTGTTAATGTTCATATGTCGGACATAATGGGCTCCGATTCGGTGCTCAGCGCTCTGAGATGACTCACAGGCGCACCGCACTCGCATCTCATTGGTCGCATCGGTTTACTCCAGCTGCCCAATCGGCGCTTCATCTTTCAGCAAGTTGGGTTCCGAATTGGAGGTCATTTTGCGCAAATTCACGTCTCTCACCTTGGCTGGTTGGAATTGGTTGCTGTGTTGTGGGCCCTGCCTAGATCTTTTCTTGGTATTCAGGTAGTGCGATTGTCGGTGTCCAGCGAGAGACGTCGTGTCGAATAAACACATTCTCTTTGCCCCCACAGAGGCCTCGCGCAATCCATCGAAGGTTTCAAAAGGCGTCAACGGCGAAGAGGTCAGTCGAACTTGCGGCACCCCTGAGCCTCCAGCGCATCTTCGACGGAAACCCAGCAACCGCCAACCCCAGCAGCAGAACCCCCCTGCTGACGCATGGGCCACCAGTGGCCCTCCCCTCTACACCAACTCACACATACCCTCCTCCAGCAGACAATTCACTCTTGCCTCTTCCCCCTACGCCAACGCTGATGCCTCCTGTTCGGCCCGTCGCGGCGCTGATGGAATCGCTGACGCATCATCCGCCAACCACGCCTCCGAAGATGAATTGGTGAGTTTGCATTGCGTTCCCTTTCGACGTCATTGATTGGTTATTTTCGTCGAATCGATCAGGTCCCGGGGGGTAAGTGGGTGGGCGGGTGGATGGAGGGGTCGTTAGAGGAACATTTTAGCCCTGACAAGTGGATGGGCGTGGTATTTTGCGTGACACGTTATTACGGTCTGAGCTCAGTCACTCGGATAAACACGTCAAGACCAGCAAATACGACTTTCTCAAACGGTGTTTGAGGACTCATGTGTGTCCGCTCGGCAACATTGCTGCTGGTGCTGCTTTGTCTGCTAATATTCGTGACCCCGTCGAAGTTTTATGCGTTTCGCTGATGGCGTTGACTCACGTGGTCATGGATTACTCTCTCTCGCTCTCTCTCGGACACGCTTTGTTGGTGTGTTTCGCAGATCCGAGTCAAGCTTCGTGTGTGTGTGTGTGTGTGTAGGTAGGGGTTTCGTATTTTGAGCTGGGGATGTCCCTTCTTCGAAACGTGCAAGATTGGTCCAAGTGTCGTCAAGACCACCACCACCACCACCACCAAGAAGAGTACTGGGATCTGACACTTGAATGTGTGTTGGTGTCTTCCAGTCACCGCGCGGTGGTCAAAGTCGTCATGTGTTGTCGACGCGACGTCCAACTGTCGCGTGCAAGCTTGACGTTCCCGTTGTCAAATCCGTGGCATTTGCCAAGACGATGTCCACGGCCATGACCACTCTGTGTCCACAAAACGGAGCACGCACTGAACGTCGCGGAGAGTCTAGGCGTCTAGACGGTTGCCTTTAACCGTGCCGCCCTTGATCATATCTGGTTTCCGCGTGAGCCACACGGTGTCGAAAGATGGTGGGTGCGTTGATGTGTTTCGCGTGTCCAGAATCCTGCGTTTACTTCACAGGACGGTAGTGAGATCGGCAGGATTGACACTTTGAGCACTGTTGAGGTGTCCACACAGACGCGATCCCTGTTGGCTCCGCTGCAGTTGTGATCCCATGTCTATGGGAATAAGACCTTCAGGAGACTTTGCGGGGTGTCTTGAATTCAATCTCTCGAGTCACTAAATCGTTTCTGACGGATTCAGCCTTGAGATTGACAGGTGATTGGTGTGTTCTGTGACAGGCAAGGTGATGATAGCACCTACAAGATAGCACATGAGTTTGACCATTCAGTGATTGTCTTTTCCAAAGACATTGAGTCGAACGTGTTCAGCATTGCTTGAAGTCTCGTGGGATGAGTTGGCAGCTGCTGCACCAGTAGCGTTGTCAAACGTGATGGAATCAAGAGTAATCCCAGTGTGGTCGAAGAAGTTGATTTCAAGGTCCTGCCATGTAGCTAATTGCCAAGTGACGTGGTAGATCTGCAGATCTGTCGATGCACAGTGCCCCCTTTGTTGAAACAGTCTTGGTAGTCGCGTGAATTCTCGTTGGGTTATTAGTCATCTGCTCATTTGCCAACCGCTGCATCAGCTGATCGCAGTCAAGTGCGCTTGGTTTCTGCTAATCCACTGTGATCTCTCTCGTGCGTGCTTCAAAAATGTGATCACAGGTCCCGTGAATTGCCGTCCAATTCCGCGCGTGAGTACCTCGCACTTGCTGCTGACTCCCTTAAATTGTGGTAGTTAAACGTATCCGTGGTCACGTGAGTCCCTATTTGATTGGCTGGGTTGTCTTCGAGGGTGTTTTTAACCTCGTCATCACCAGACTACTACAAGGCGGCAGACCGTCTGATTGTTATCATCGATGACAGCTGGTCTGTCGCGCCATACGACGCCAAATTCGCGTTTCTTAACTTGCGATGGGTTCGTTAAGTGTCTTGGAGACAGATGTGCTACTTAGTGCAATAAAGTAGTCTGTTTATTACAAACAGTCAGTCGTGTGTTTTGTACTTTCAGTTGGAGACACGGTACTTCGTGGCAGTGAAGTACTACGGTCCCGGACCCGCGTCATCGTCACAGTCACCCAGATCGAACGGCGTATTCTTCACGCCTACCAAGAGCGTCGACGGTACTTCCTCCTGCACTCCCGTGAAGTCATGACTTCTTCCCACAGTCCCCGCCACCGCCGCCTCTGTACATATTCCTCTGGTTTTAAGCCCTTCCGCCCGCCAGTTCTCCCAGCCGCTGTTGCTGCTGCTATTCACTTTTGTTTTCTTGGTTTTTCGGTGAATGATTTTCCTCTACTCGCGTGTGCTTGTGACCACCTCGACGCTGCCTGATATGCAACTAACGCCCCCTCAACTCCCCCACCCCACCTCCACCCACTTAACCGCCTCTCCGATTCTGTTTTGCGCTAAGTAGGGTCCTGTCGCTGTAGGTACTTTTCTTTTGGTGAAAGCGTGTGCGTCTTTAACTAATAAACTGGTGGTTTGTGCGTGCGTGTGCGCGTTCCCCGGCTTTAACCGCCTCCTTGCGCCACATCAGGGCAGTTTGCATTGCGTCTTGTCGAAATCCCGTGTGAGGTCAAGAGGAGCCTTGTGCACTGTTGCGAGGGCGCGGTAACTGGTAACGCCAAATGTGTTATCGCCCGGGACGCGTCTTGTTCAGCACTTGTGGTGACTGGCGACAATGCTTTGAGGTAGAAATGAGCGTTCCTGCTTGCCACAGGTTGTCCTAAAGTCCATTTGGGCATTGTGGAGTATTTCGTTTCCCAGGGAACATTCATTATTTTGGTTGTAGTTCGCCTGCTACTAGCAACTGTTAGGTAGAAATGCATTTGGAGTGCGGTCTGGACGCGATTAGATACCGGGTCATTAAGTGCTCGCGTCAAGGCAACACGCGAAGGAGTTGCGATTAGTTGTGGCCGTGGAAGCAGTGAGGCGTGCTGAACGGGTTCTCGTAGACAATGATATGCACAATGTCGATAAATACCATCGCCATAGACACTTATCCTGTTGTTGCGAATGAAGTCGGCAAAATTACGGTTGTTATGCGACTAAGAGAAGAGTGTAAACGTACTTTATTTTCAAAACTGTTCAAATCGATTGCGAATTGTGAAAAATCATTATTTGTTAACAGGTCAATAATGCATTTGCCGTTGCCGATTACCACTTTCTCCCAATAGTAGACAAGATACTTCGATGCCTCTTCTGCGACAAAGAAGCTACACGCGGTGACTTTGTTTCGGTGATGTGAATGTCGAGCACTCGTCAGATACACTACCGTTTTCTCTCACCTTCCGCAGCTGCGTCGGTCGTAGGCGCCGGCATTCCAGATTATCGATTTTTTCCATCTCAGGAAAGTAGGGATGACAAATCAGAACTAGATTTAAAAGTACTTATCCACTTGATCCGCACTCTAACTACATTTCTACTTACCTATTACTAGTAGCAGGTGAACTGCAACCAGCAGGAACACTCATCACGCCAGCAACCAATCCCAGCCAGCCAAGGTGAGGGACGTGAATTTGCTCAAAACCACCTCCGATTCGTAACCCAACTCGCTGCAAACCACCTGCAAGATGAAGCGCCAATGAGATGAGAGTGCGATGCCCCTATGAGTCATCTCTGAGCCCTGAACATCACCGATCAGTATTTACTGAAAAACCAATAGCAGCGGGATTTGAGGAACGCCTTTCAAACCAAACGCCACAGCAAACCGGCCGATTGCTGACTCACTGTCATGTGTTTTCAACGCCTCCACTGGCGGCGTGGCAATACGACGCAGTGTTGGTGTGTGGTGGCGTGCGGGTTCGTGGTGGAGGGGATGTGAGATAGACAGGCGACAGCAAATCGGCTGATTTGTGACCCTCGGGCGGACCAATCACAATCAAGGGGATCCTTTTCGCGCTCAGCTCACAGCTCCATGAAAAAAAGCTCTACCGACTGAGCAAATCCCATCCTTCAGACTCTGAACTGCGTCTTTTTCTATCCCATTTACAGAGAATGAAAAAGGGGGCGCAAATTTCATCGGTAAACAAAGCAAAATTTGAGGGGTTAAATGAGATTTTTCAACCAATGAATGCTCATAGACCACATCCATTTATTCAAATGCTCTGGTGCTCTTTTTGAAATACAGCACTTGTGTTTTTCGAAATTTTGACAGTTGCTAGGCGTTGGAGGCCCTCATGAAACAACACTTGTTTTACACCAGAAACTGGTAAACTGCAAATTATAAAAGGTTTTTAAACAGCATAATTTGCTGTAGTGGGAATCAACTTCGTTAATCTTGGGCACCAGATCGTTATTTGCAAGATTATGAACTGAAAGTGTGCTAAGATGGCGTGATGGCCACCCTAGTAAACCCTGATCGATAATCAGATAATCAGATTTAAGTAATTCGTCTAAGTAGCGAAAAATGAATCCGATTTGAATTTGGAACAACAAACCAACAAACAAATAGTTAAAATAAAGCGTAGAACTGCTATGAAGTGATCGTCTTTCTCTTCCAAATCACGCCAGAAGTGTTCGATGGAAGTCAATGCTGTGGAACTACGCGACTTTTCCTCCAAATCACGGCCTCTCGATTTGCTGTGTGCATTTCGTCATATTTGCATCACGGTTATATTCCCGGTGATTGGCGATGGAATCGTGATCGTACCTAGTCTAATTAAGTCGTCTATTAGCTGGCGTCCATTCGTCTGAATGCATCGTTGAATTTTATTCAGCCTTGCATCAAATGACACAGGGATTGACGTTGCAGCATCTTGCTTGTCGACGTGGAAGTACATGACATCGGTACTCTAGCGCGATGCAATGATCCACGCGCTATCAACACGCGAATCGTGGTTCGACTAATTCTCAACTGGACCACAATCGTTTAGTTCGGCAGACTTTTTGACAGCGGGAATTGAACGAGCCAACCACGGTGTTTGGGGTTTTCTACCAGGAAGCTTTTGCACTTCTTTCAGTGGCATTCCATTGCTCCAGACGTAGAGTAGGTCCGAAATCTTCCTGAGCTTCAAACTACGGTGAGGCCACAATCATGGATGGTGAAAAAAAAACTGAAAAACCCTTCATACTAAAACGTTTTGTTTGTGAGCATCACAGATCCATCCATCTTAACTTCTGAAGGATCTGCTGAAGTAAGAACAACAAGTGACAGTCGAAATCGCACCACAGTGGCACTCATAAAAATTTACTAAAATGCGAGATGAAAGATTGTCCACAAAGATGCAGGGATCTCACCATTTGTTACATCCCTAGATTACGATTTCTCTTCATGAGCGTTGAAGGTGCGGTGTTCTGTGGGAAGTCGGAGATAACTGCTGCCCAGGAATGAATGCGATCCACGTCTTCAACAAGCTGTCACTGAAAATGGGTTCTTTCCACCAATCAACACACGCGGATGGTTATCAACAGAAAATCGTCCACAATGGGGTTTTGAACTCACGGCTTGATTATATGAGCCCAATTTTCGGTCCGTTTGTAGGAACGAACTGGTCCATAGCATGGCTTTCTTTACAGGTAAAATAAAGCGTTTTTGTGGAGTGGGAACCATGTCCTGTCTTGTTGCTTAATCGCACGATTTTCCTTCTCAATCATCTTCATTTCATTCATTTGTTAAGCAGAGAACTAGCACATTCACCATCACCATCACCCAAGAATTCACATTTATTGCAAACTTATTGGATGATGAGCAGTAACTTGTTTAATGTCAAAACATTAATTACACGACATGGACATATCTCCCCATGTGTAGGTATGGCGATGCAGCAACACCTCTGAAACTCTGGCTGATTCACCTTGGCTCTTAAGATTGAACCACGTGTTGTTTTTTCTTGCACTGCTAACTTTCGATTCCGGACTCAATTTTGAAGCTACGTAGGTGACTAATTGTGTTGGATATCAAATGTGGAGAAGCTGACAGATGTCATCTCCGTGGATTACGCCTCAACGGACCTTACGCCAAAGCTAGATCTAGACCTTTATTTGTCACTTGTGCACCCATGGATCTTTGACAAACCCCCTGATCAAAAATAAGATCTCACAATGACTACATTTCTAATTTCTATTGAAAATATTCAAGGGCAGGGGAAGATCAAAAGGAAAGTTGGCTAGAAGAAAAGAAATATAGACCTGGTGGGAACATGTACCTAGAAGCTTTAGCGGTTGACGATGCCAGGTCCAGACTCGTCGTACTCCTGCTTGGAAATCCACATCGGCTGGAAGGTGGCGAGGGAGGCAAGAAGTGAGCCACCCATCCAGACGTAGTACTTGCGCTCAGGTGGCGCGACGATCTTGACCTCCGTGGTGCTCGGAGCGAGCAAAGTGATCTCCTTCTGCATGCGATCAGCGATACCAGGGAACATGGTGGTGCCACCGGAGATGAGAATGTTGGCGTAGAGGTCCTTGCGGATGTCGGCGTTGCATTTCATGATGGCGTTGAA